ATGAGTGAGGGACCACAGGAAAAACACTCTACTCCCACCCTCTGTTTTCCCCCCTTTTTTTCTCTTTTTTTTTTTTTTGTCGTGTCCCCATTAGGCAGCTTACAGTGAATGAAGCCAACAGGATACAAAGAGTGACTTGTTAAATTCACAGGCAGGTCACCTACCAGTCAGCACTAAAATAAAAAGAAGCATTATTCAGGCTAAAGCCTCCGCTGATAAGAAGGAAGGCCCCGATATCCAGCTCTCTGTCTTTGTTTAGTCAATTGGCAGGCGATGGGCGGGGAGCCCACCCTCCGAAGAGAATAAGGAAGAGAGAGAGAGCATGGTGCACTGCTAAGGAGACACAACATGGGGGAAAGCAAGGAGTGCAGCACAATGTCCATGAGAAGCACCGCAGAGGCCAGTGTAATATGTGCTATTTAAGCAACAATGCCTGCAACCCAGGCACAAGGGTAATGCCTGCAACCCACACACAGGGTCTTCCAAACCAGGAGAAGCAGAGATCCTGGGGGGAGGTGCACTAGGCGGGATACTGCTCACTAACATCCATCCAATCTGCATATCTTTGGCAGGTGGCCTGGAGTGACCAAAAAGGGGAGGGAGGCAGTAGTGTATTTAGCTTTTGTGCTGCCCTAGGCAACACAAAAATCGTCTGCCCCAACAGACACTGACCAACAAGCCCCCTTCCCCCTCCCATGGAGAGAGCCTGACATTCCATGGAGAGAGACTGACATTGACCAACAACACCCCTGCCCCCCACTTCGGGAGAGCCTTCCACTACCCCCCCCCCCACCAGCGATAGAGAGAAAGACACTCATCTTTAAAGCAGGCTGTACATACACCATCAAGCAGCCCGCAGCCTCTCTTGGATCCCACCTGGTTCTCATGGCACGCATATCCCTTCTTTCATCCCTTCTTCTGAGGGAAGCTGCTGCCCCCCTGAAAAATGCCGCCCTAGGTAAGTGCCTTGTTTGCCTTGTGGTAAATACGCCTCTGGAGGGAGGGTCTTTTATTCTAGCTATTGGAGGTGGTCCAGGCTGTTACCTACAGAGGATTAATCAATGGTGTGCTAACCTGAGGTGAGCCAGAAAAATGGCACTGCAACCCAATCATGCAATTAGGGCAGGCAAGAGCTCTCTGTTTCCACTCACCGTGCTTGACTTGCAGACTCCACCCCGCAACACAAGAGTACTTCCATGTAGATAAGGTCGTTAACCAGGCAAGGATGAATAAAATTTCTCCTTATTTCATCCAAGGAGTACTCATGTTCCAAACAGAGCCATCAGAGAGTTGGCTCTGTTTGGAACATGTGTACTCCTTGGACGAAATAAAGAGAAATTTTATTCATCCTCACCTGGTTGCTGACTTTACCTACATGGAAGAACATCAATGCCACAGATTACAAACATTTTCCCCTAGTGTGCATTGCATGTCAACATAATATTAGAATGCATATGACCATCAAATGCAAGATTAGGATTAGAATAATAGATGAAAAGCCATAATATAAATCCCAAACCCAGTACCATCTGTAAACTTTGCTTTCCAGACTAGGGTTACACAGGTGAGTTTTTGACCTTGAATTCCATTACATTCATCCCTAATGGACATACTTTAATGGGGAAATTCATGCAAGAATCTCCTAGGAACACATTTTTAGCAATTATTTTTCCACTTCGATTTCACTCTATGGAGGAGAACAGGAGATTATGCCCTAATAGTTTCTGCTACCAGAATGGATTGTGACATTGTGCGATCAGGTGAGATATATCATTATACTAAACTACTGCAAATGTCTTGAGTAAGCAACTCATTTTAAAAGTACAGTGAAACAAAGAGATCAATACCACAACATTTTAGTAGCACCACTGAACTATTAAAATTCACCTTTGTAGTCTAAGGGGAGGGCAACATGGCTAATTAAATCTCTTTGATTTTGAGACATTTGAACTGTATGTAAAGACAAACTATTTCGTTGTTTAGTTTTGCATTGAGTATGGGAGGGTTTTTGCAGTCTGAACCTCTACTGGGGAGATTAACCTCTTTATTTGTCCTGGCAATAATTGTTTCTGAAAGAGGAAATTATAGGCAATCAAAAATTCCAAGTAGTCACCAGAGCAAAAGGAGAGGGTAAATCATCCAATGGGGACAAATATCCCATGGGCAACTGGAAAATTCCTGTCACTTTTTTTGTCCTTTTACTTGGGGGTTCTACCCTGTCCAGCAAAGCATCCATGTGGAAATCCCCAGCTGAATCAGAGCAGAAAGGTACGGATGTCAGTTTTTGTCTGCATTATTGGATCTGTAAATGGACTTGTGTCCACTTACATCAAGCCACTTACCATCCATCATGTAGGTCTGGAAAAACAGGGAAAAATAGAAAAGAACGCAGTCATTTCTCTTTTCTCCTCCAAGTCTAGATGGACTAGTAGGTAGGCAGATGATAGGCAACACGTTCTTTTACATCTGCCTGCCCATAGACTTACATGGAGCTTCCAATCAGGTCAACCTGAAAAACTGATAGACAATGATCGGAAAGCCCATGTGAAAAGGGCCTAAATATTACTTCTTCAAGACAGGAATCAAGGGGAAATCTCCCTAAACACAGACAGCAAAAATGCCCTGACCAAGGTTTTGACCCTCCATTTCTTTCCAAAACAAAACAATTAAAAAAATGGTTTGGCTGTATATAAACTTTAAGTGCTTGCTGAAAGCCATCTCTTCACGAATCACATTCATTTTTATGAGCTAAAAATCAGATAACTCTTAAATCTCTCAGTTGCAAGGAGCTCTAATTGCCTGTGTAGCTCTAGCCTAAAGCTAGCTGTACACAATATTTTCTTCGTTTACCCATCACTGTCAGAATACACTGATCAGTGGCAGCAGCTATTTGGCTGCAGCCGCTGATCAATGTAAAAGCTCCCATCAATCAAAACTCTTTTCATTTATATCAACACATTTCTGGGACATTTGTACTAGAGAGTTTATGGCCATTTGAATACACTCTGGTACAAGTGTCATAGAAATGTCTACATTTCTTGTCCTGTATTTCATGTCTTTATGTATAGGGCCACCCTCAGAAACCACTATACATACACTTAAGAGCCTCTTTATTTGGCACACCTGTTCAGTTGCTTGGTAACACAAATTGCTAATCAGCCAATCACATGGCAGCAACTCAGGGTTTAATAGACTTTGAACACGACATGGTTGTTTGTGCCAGATGGACTGGTCTGAGTATTTCTAAAACTGCTGATCTACTGGGATTTTCATGTACAACCATCTCTAGTGTTTACAGACTGTTAGGAATGGACTGGCCAGCAATGGTGGGACTCACCTGCCTTTTGATCTGCAGTACCAGGGCTGGCCAGCGGGTGCTCCCAGCAATCAGAGACTCAACCTTTCAGCCAGCTAACACCTGGAACTGATGATGCTGGGGTATTTAAGGGATGGCCAGACTTGCAGACTCTGCCTTGGTGTTGTGTTTGTCCTGGGCCCTGTATCTGTCCTGCATCCTGTTTCTGTTCCTTTGCTGACTTCTCCTGCTCTGATCCTGGCTTGTGACCCTGACCATTCCTCTGTCTGACCCTCTGTACTATGCTGCTTGCTACCTGCTGAACCTGGCCTGTGACCCCGACTATCTCTCCGCTTGCTCCCCCTGTACCTACCTGCCCAATTGATATTGACCCGGCCTGCCTGACGACGCTTGCTTGTATATACTGTTATCTGTGGGTGGGTTTGGTTTGTTTGCACTGTATTTATGTTTTAGTATTGCACTGCGTTTATGTTTGTACTGTTAGTGTTAATAAATTATATTGTTTATAACATATCTGAGGTCTGCGTTTCCCTGCTTCAGTCACACCTCTGGTCATACCTGGGAGCCCTGACATTACACCAAGGCCAATCCTGACCAGAAGTGGCTGCACAGGGAAGCCATCTTGGCTTGTTGATGGGAAGGATGGATCTAGATGAGGTTGAGTATTTATCTCTGCTAGTGCTTGATGACAGAGAGTATGCTTATCAGACTCTGAAGGAGTATCCCCGGGATGAACTGCTAGAATGTATATGGCTCGCTCATGTTCTAGTAGATCAGGGCACAGTTTTCTCTATGGTGCAGCCATTGATGATTCAGGTTTGTGTTGAGTTGGTTTCATCTGGTTTCCCCGAATGCAGGGATGAATTTTTGCCACCATTTAGTGCAGACCAGGTAGAGTCCCTGGTGTGGTTATTAGAGGATGATGTGTGGGTTACTTTCTGGAGCGTTATTCACATGTTCACCACAGACACTGAGAGATTGTATAAACGCAGTGCAGTCATTGACCAGACAGACTTTGTGTAAACTCAGCTTTGTTCAACCCCTACTGCAGACATGGACAGATTTGTTGCAACCCAGCCTCAGTCAGCTTACAAAGACCCAGTCCTGCTTCTAACTCTACTCCTGTATTCCCACCAGCTCCTCCAGTTACAGCCCAGTATACTTGGCTATCTACCGCATGTCAGTACCCTGTTCCCACTCGCTGCTCCTATCCTGCCTTTAACCCTGTAAAAAAAGCCCTCTGTAGCAACTGCTGCTCCCTCTCCTGTTCCATCCTCCAGTTCTTCTCTGTCTCCAGCTGCTCCATTCGTTTGCAGACCTGCGTTTACTTGCAGTGCTCCAGTAGTTAAAACCAGAAAAAAGCGAAAATTCTTTCCAACCAATACCATCCTGCCAGTATCCAAACCGGTGAGCCTGCCTTCCGTGGTTCAGACTGATGCCTGTACGCAGCCTGAAGCCTCTACGCGGCCTGAAGCCTCTCCTCGGCCTGAAGCCTCTCCTCGGCCTGAAGCCTCTATGCGGCCTGAAGCCTCTCCTCAGCCTGAAGCCTCTACGCGGCCTGATGCCTGTACGCGGCCTGATGCCTGTACGCGGCCTGATGCCTGTACTCGGCCTGATGCCTGTACTCGGCCTGATGCCTGTACTCGGCCTGATGCCTGTACTCGGCCTGAAGCCTGTACTCGGCCTGAAGCCTCTACTCGGCCTGATGCCTCTACTCGGCCTGATGCCTGCATTCAGCCTGATGCCGCTACTCAGCAGGATGAACTGATCCAGCCCGACGATCCTATTAGGCCAGTTGACTCGATGCCCGCTGTTGATCCAGATGATCCGGTACCTGATCCGTGCCCGCTGTCGTGCCAATTGACTCAGAGCCCGCTGTCATACCTGGTGACCCGGTGCCCACTGCCTTGCCAGATGACGCGGTGCCCGCTGGCAAGCCAAATGACCTGATGCCTGGTGACCCAGTGCCCGCTGTCATACCTGGTGACCCGATGCCCGCTGTCGAGCCAGACGATCCAATGCCTGGTGACGCGGTGCCCACTGCCTTGCCAGATGACCTGATGCCTGGCAACCCAGTGCCCGCTGTCATACCTGGTGACCCGATGCCCGCTGTCGAGCCAGACAATCCGGTACCTGATGCCCGGTGCTCACTGTCGTGCCTGTTGACTCGGAGCCCACTGCCTTGCCAGATGACGCGGTGCCCGCTGTCGAGCCAAATGACCTGATGCCTGGTGACCCAGTGCCCGCTGTCCAGTCAGGACGATCCAATGTCTGACCCAGTGCCCGCGGTCATACCAGTTGACTCGGAGCCCACTGCCTTTGCCAGATGATGACGCGGTGGCCCGCTGACAGCCGCCAAATGACCTGATGCCTGGTGACCCAGTGCCCGCTGTCATACCTGGTGACCCGATGCCCGCTGTCGAGCCAGACAATCCGTACCTGATGCCCCCCGTGCTCACTGTCGTGCCTGTTGACTCGGAGCCCACTGCCTTGCCAGATGACGCGGTGCCCGCTGTCGAGCCAAATGACCTGATGCCTGGTGACCCAGTGCCCGCTGTCCAGTCAGACGATCCAATGTCTGACCCATTGCCTCCCGCGGTCATAATAGTTGACTCGGAGCCCACTGCCTTGCCAGATGACGCGGTGCCCGCTGTCGAGCCAAATGACCTGATGCCTGGTGACCCGATGCCCGCTGTCCAGCCAGACGATCCAATGTCTGACCCAGTGCCAGCGGTCATCCCAGTTGACTCGGAGCCCACTGTTGTGCCTGGTGACTCGGTGCCCGCCGCCCCCGCCTGGGGGCCCGAGACCTGTCGTTCCGCCTAAGGGCCCGAGACCTGTCGCTCCGCCTGGGGGTCACCTGCACACTGCCTGGACATGTTCTGTGCCGCTTGAGGGCCCGAGACCTGTCGCTCCATCTGGGGGTCCGGCGCCCGCCGCTCCGCCTGAGGGCCCGAGACCTGTCGCTCCACCTGGGGGGTCCGGCGCCCGCCGCTCCCGCCTGAGGGCCCGAGACCTGTCGCTCCACCTGGGGGTCCGGCGCCCGCCGCTCCGCCTGAGGGCCCGAGACCTGTCGCTCCAGCTGGGGGTCCGGCGCCCGCCGCTCCGCCTGAGGGCCCGAGACCTATCGCTCCATCTGGGGGTCCGGCGCCCCGCCGCTCCGCCTGAGGGGCCCGAGACCTGTCGCTCCGCCTGGGGGTCCGGCGCCCCGCCGCTCCGCCTGGGGGCCCGAGACCTGTCGCTCCCCCGCCTGGGGTCCGGCGCCCGCCGCTCTCCGCCTGAGGGCCCGAGACCCTGTCGCTCCAGCTGGGGGTCCGGCGCCCGCCCGCTCCGCCTGAGGGCCCTCGAGACCTATCGCTCCATCTGGGGGTCCGGCGCCCGCTGCTCCGCCTGGGGGCCCGATGCCTGTCGCCCCCGCCTGGGGGCCCGATGCCTGTCGCCCCGCCTGGGGGCCCGATGCCTGTCGCCCCGCCTGGGGGCCCGGTGCCTGTCGCCCCGACTGGGGGCCCGGTGCCTGTCGCCCCGCCTGGGGGCCCGGTGCCTGTCGCCCTGACTGGGGGCCCGGTGCCTGCTGCTCCGCCCGGGGCCCGGTGCCTGCTGCTCCGCCCGGGGGGCCCGGTGCCTGCTGCTCCGCCCGGGGCCCGGTGCCTGCTGCTCCGCCCGGGGGCCCGGTGCCTGCTGCCCCGCCCGGGGGCCCGGTGCCTGCTGCCCCGCCCGGGGGCCCGGTGCCTGCTGCCCCGCCCGGGGGCCCGGTGCCTGCTGCTCCGCCCGGGGGCCCGGTGCCTGCTGCTCCGCCCGGGGGGCCCGGTGCCTGCTGCCCCGCCCGGGGGCTCGGTGCCTGCCGCCCCGCCCGGGGGCCCGGTGCCTGCCGCTCCGCCTGGTGGCCCTGCTGCCTGCTGCTTCGCCTGGTAATCCGATGTGCCTCTGCCCGGAGTCCTGCCCGATGTACCCTCTGCCCGCATCCACTGAGTCCTGCCCGATGTACCTCTGCCCGGAATCCTGCCCGATGTGCCTCTGCCCGGAGTCCTGCCCGATGTGCCTCTGCCTGGAGTCCTGCCCGATGTGCCTCTGCCCGATGTGCCTCTGCCGAGTCCTGCCCGATGTGCCTCTGCCCGTGTGCCTCTGCTCGATGTGCCTCTGCTCGATGTGCCTCTGCCCGGAGTCCAGCCCGGTGTGCCGCTGCCCGGAGTCCTGCCCGGGTGTGCCAGTCTTTGATATCCCGCCAGTTGCCAGACCCGGGCGGTGGAACATTTTGCCCAGCTAGGACTGTTTGGAGCGTCCTGAGGCCGCTCCTTGAGGGGGGGGGTACTGTTAGGAATGGACTGGCCAGCAATGGTGGGACTCACCTGCCTTTTGATCTGCAGTACCCAGGGGCTGGCCAGCGGGTGCTCCCAGCAATCAGAGACTCAACCTTTCAGCCAGCTAACACCTGGAACTGATGATGCTGGGGTATTTAAGGGATGGCCAGACTTGCAGACTCTGCCTTGGTGTTGTGTTTGTCCTGGGCCCTGTATCTGTCCTGCATCCTGTTTCTGTTCCTTTGCTGACTTCTCCTGCTCTGATCCTGGCTTGTGACCCTGACCATTCCTCTGTCTGACCCTCTGTACTATGCTGCTTGCTACCTGCTGAACCTGGCTGTGACCCCCGACTATTCTCCGCTTGCTCCCCCTGTACCTACCTGCCCAATTGATATTGACCCGGCCTGCCTGACGACGCTTGCTTGTATATACTGTTATCTGTGGGTGGTTTGGTTTGTTTGCACTGTATTTTTTAACATTGATTGGACCTTGGGCAAACATTTTCTTAGGCTTCCCACCCCCCTCCCCCTGCTTGCATGCAATTTCACTCTCCACCTGCTCTAAGTCATACAATAAATAGCGGCTAGACTCAAAATCAGTTTACTGTAGCAGATCAGGCAGTGATTGTGATTGCTTGCCAGGGGTCGGAGCACATCATTACAACTCACTGACTGGTTGCTAGATGTTACAACACACATTATGGCTCACTGGTTAGTTGCTAGAGGATACAACACATCATTTCTGCTTGTTGATTGGTTGCTAGAGGTTACTGCACATCATTACCGCTCACCCATTGGTTACTAGGGCTGGGGGGAGGGTGTGATCAGTGGCAGTTCTGGGGGGGGGGTGGAATGGGATGTGTGGCAGTGCTGGGGGGGTGGGATCAATTGCAATCCTGGGGAAGGGGGGGTGTGAGTGTTATCAGTGGCAGTGCTGAGATGTTGATGGGATGAGTGGCAGTGTTTGGGGGGATAGATCAGTAGCACTCACTTTCCATCACCTATCAGTCAGTATCCACTCCCCCTACCTGCATGAGAGAGGGGTGGGGGGAGAGAGTGGGGGTGATAGAAAGAGGGGGGAAGGGGGGGGAAGGGAGAGGGGGTGTGAGAAAGAGAGGGGGGATGAGAAAGGGGGAATGAGAGAGAGAGAGGGGGGAGAGAGGAGGGAGGGGGGATGAGAGAGAGGGAGTGGGGTGAGAGAGGGGGAATAGAGAGGGCAATGGGAGAGAGAGGTGGGGTGAGAAAAAGGGGGGGTGAGAGAGAGAGGGATGTGAGAGAGAAGGGGAGAGAGAGAGAAGGGGTGAGAGAGAGGGGTGTGAAATAGAGAAAGGAGGGAAATGGTGACAGAGAGGGGGTTTGAGAAAGAGAGGGGTGTTAAGAGAGGGAGGATGAGAGAGGGAATGAAAGAGAGGGGGGAATGAAAGAGAGAGAGCGACTGAGAGAGGAGCTGACAGAGAGAGGAGGTGAGAGAGAGGGGAGTGGGGTGAGAGAGGGGGGAGAGAGAGGGTATTCTGACTCAGATTGTTGTGATAGCAATTTATCCCTTGTGAGACCTCTATGCTTAGCCTGTATAAGCAGATATAATCACTGTGGGCAATCCTTATCAGATAGCTTGAACTCACCAATACTGTGTTCATCCAGAAGTTGCTTTATTCTGTACATGTGAAACAGGATACAGCAGAATGAATGGTTTCCAGTATTATGCGGTCAAAAGATGATACTTTCTGTAGCGTACTATGCAGAATACATGTGTCCCTGTTACATGTGGTCTGTTAGCTGCCTCCATGACACAGGAAGTGCTGAACTCAAGAAGAAGGGAGGAGCTTCATATACAAAGGAATTGTGTCATAGATCTCAGGGAGGCAATATAAAACAAATGCATTACCAAATAAGACCACTGGATGGCAGCATTACTAACTATAGAAATGTCCATAGGAAATGGTACAAAGAATAAACTATATGAATTCTCATGTACATTAACATAAATATTAACTGTGTAACAGCATAGAGGGAAATGGGAGAGAGAGGAGGTGGGGGGGGGAGAGAGAGAGTGGAGTGAAAAAGAGAGAGGGTGGAGTGAAACATAGAGAGGGGGGGCGAGAGAGAGAGAGAGAAAGAAGAGTGTGAGAGAGGTGTGTGAGAGGGAAAGGAGGGAGGGGAGAGAGGCAGGGTGACAGAGAGGGGGAGTGTGAAAGAGAGAGGGGTGAGAGAGGGGAGATGAGAGAGGAGGGGTGAGAGAGCAAGGGGATGAGAGAAAGGAGTGGGGTCAGAGCGGAGTGTGAAAGGGGGGAGAGAGAGGGGGGTGGCAGAGAGAGGGTTGGATTGAGAAAGAAGGAGGGGGTGAGAGAGAGGGGGGGTGGGGTGGTGACAAAAAATGGGGTGAGGGAGGGGGATATGGAGGGTGAGAGAAAGGGGGGGTGAGGGGGGAGGCAGAGAAAGAGGGGGGGGTGGGAGAGAGAGGGGGGGTGAAAGAGAGGGGGTGGTAGAGAGAGGGGGATGACAGATAGGGAGTGGGTTGAGAGAGAGGGAGTGTAGTGGATTTAGGAAGGGGGATGGGTGAGAGAGGGGGGACTGATAAAGAGTGAGGGGGGAGTGAGAAAGAGAGAGGGGTGTGAGAGAGAGGGGTGAGAGAGAGAAAGAAGGGGTGAGAGAGGGGGTGTGAGAGAGAGAAAGGAAGGAGGGAGAGAGAGGGGGTAGGGGGGGGTGACAGAGAGGGGGAGTGAGAAAGAGAGAGGGGTGAGAAAGGGGGAATGAGAGAGAGGGAGAGAGAGAGAGGGGATGAGAGAAAGGGATTGGGGTGAGAGCAGAGGGTAGCAGAGAGAGGGTGGGAGAGAGGGGTATTGAGAAAGAATGAGGGGGTGTGTGAGAGGGGAGATGGCAGGTGAGAGGGGGTGAGGGAGGGTGGATGGGGAGAGAGAGAGGGGGGGTGAGGGAGGATA